GGAGAAAGAGGAGGCTTTCTGTTCTCATAAGATATACAGTCTTGAAACAGCACTGGGGCAGTTCTAGTCTGTTCCACAGGCTCACTGTGAGTCAACCTTGACTCCGTGGCAGTGAGTCTCTCTCTCTCTCTCTCTCTCTGGTCTGTGCCATTGTTGTTACCTATGTCATCAACTATGTAATAGACGTTTTGCCTCAGACGATCTTTTATTTTGTTTTATTATTTTATTTAATTTTTTTTAACCTCAGACAATCTTATAATTAAAAAAAATTCATTTTATTGGGGGCTCGTACAACTCTTACCACAATGCATCCATCCATCCATGGTGTCAAGCACATGTGTACATTTGCTGCCATCATCGTTCTCAAAACATTTGCTTTCTACTTCAGCCCTTGGTATCAGCTCCTCATTTCCCCCCTCCCTCCCTGTTCGCCCCTCCCTCATGGATCCCTAATAATTTATAAATTATTATTATTTTGTCATGTTTACACTGTCCGGCGTCTCCCTTCACCCACTTTTCTGTTGTCGGTCCCCCAAGGAGGAGGTTATATGTAGATCCTTGTAATTGGTTCCTCCTTTCCACCCCCACCCTCCCTCCACCCTTCAGGCCTCACACCTCTCAGCACTGGTCCTGAAGGGCTCATCTGTCCTGGATTCCCTGTGTTTCCAGTTCCTATCTGTACCAATGTCCATCCTCTGGTCTAGCCAGATGTGTAAGGCAGAATTGGGATGTCAGTAGGGAGGGGGGCAGCATTTAAGGACTAGAGGAAAGTTGCATGTTTCATCGTTGCTACCCTGCACCCTGACTGGCTGGTCTCCTCCCTGAGGCCCTTCTGTCAGGGGATGTCCAGTTGCCTGCAGACTGGCTTTGGGTCCCCAATCTGCACAATCTTATCATTTTAAAGGAGAAAAGAAAACATTCGTGTAGTTAAGAAGATACGGACAATTTCTGGCAACGTGTCTTCCTGTGGGTTTGAGCTCCTGTCTGGTGTTGCCCCCCAGCTGAAGGGGTGTTCTGTGTGATTCTCTGTCTGACAGGTGTGTCCGCAGTGCCTTTCCTCGGGCCTCCTGTCTCTAGGGAGGCCTCTTTTTTGAATTTGGCCTTGAGGGCTCATGTTGTGGGCTCTAGAATCATTGGCTGCCAGTTGCTTTGCTTCCAGCACGGAATAAACCCATCCCTCCACTCTCTTCTGGCCGGCGCTGTTCCTCTGAGGAGCGAGCTGTGTCAGAGCTGGGGGTGCGCCTGCAGATGGCGAGCTCATTGCCTTTTGCTGCTCTCAGAACTTCCGTCTTTCTCCGTTTCCGCAGTTTCACTAGCGGTGTGTATAGCTCGTGTTCTCTTTGGACTTAGCTTGGTGGGGGCCCCTGGAGCTTCGTGGATCAGCATAGGACTGTTTTTCATCCAAGTTGACAAGTTTTCAGCCAGGATTTCTTTTTTTTTATTTTAATTTTTCCTGCCCTTGGGACTTGAGGCTTGATAGCCCCGCCCTGGAGTCGTTTTTTTTTTTTGTTTTTAATTGTTTTATTAGGGGCTCATACAACTTTTATCACCATCCATCCATACATCAATTGTGTCAAGCACATTTGTACATTCATTGCCCTCATCATTCTCCCATGATTTCTTTTTTTTTTAAATTATTTTATGGGGGGCTTGTACAATTCTCACCACAATCCAGACAGACATCCATTGTGTCAAGCACAGATGCACATGTGTTGCCCTCATCATTCTCAAAACAGTTGCCTCCCACTCTAGCCCCTAATATCAGTTGCTCATTTTCCCCCTCCCTCCCCTCTCCCCCTTCTCCCATGGTTTCTTATTACACTTTTTTCTCCCCCTTTCTCTCTCCTCCCCCCTTGGGACTCCCATCACACGTATGTTTTTTCACTTAGATCTATGACTATGTTCATGTTTTCTTCATATTTCTTTTCTCGGTGTTCTTCAGATTAACTGAGTTCTCTCAATCCACTAAACTCATAGATTCTTCGGCCACCCGGGCTCTGTTCCGGGTGGCAGCTCTGGGATCTGCAGCCCGGGGTGAGCATTCCAAGGCTAGGTTGTAACTTCTGTTAGGGCAGCTCCCGGGCAGCTTCGGGGTCCTCCCTTCAGAAACGCACACCATCCTGGGACGGTTCCCATGCTCGAGCCCACTGGTGCAGCCGCTGTGCCAATCCATCTCCCTGAGCGCCTCCCTCTTCTATTCCACCAAGCGCGATGTCCTCCTCCCGGGACTCTACCTTCCTGACAACGTGTCCACAGCATGGAGGAGGGAGTCTCGCCGCCATCTCTGCCCGGTAGCTTCAGTTCAGAGCTTCCCCGTAGTTGTTTTTTCCCCGGCACTTGCTCCCTTATTCAGTCTTGTGCACACAGTCGGTCTGCGGCTGTGTGAGTCTGTACTTTAGAGAAACAAATCCGCAGAAACTCATGTAAAAGAGAGTTTTATATAAAGGTTAACTGTGCATCCAGAAAACATCCCAACCCAGTGCTGCCCAAGCCCACAAGTCCAACATGAACCCATTAACCCACATGTCCAACACCAATCCACAAAGTCCTCCTCCATCTCACAAAGCAGATGCAATGATGCCGACTGCAGGGGGAAAGCCGAGTCAGTGAACGTGTAAGCATCTCAGTGCTGGCAGGGTCTCCACACAGTGCTCCAGCACCCGGGGCTGCATCAGGGTAGGTCCATGTGGCTTCTCCTCAGGGATGTCTTGCACCAAGTGAGCCTTGCCACCTAAAGCAGCTGCACCCTGGTCCGACCATCACAAAGCAAGAGACCCGAGAATTCGAAAGGCGAGGCTCACCAAGACATTTATCCCTCCGCCCTTCAATTAACCTCACATGTGTTCATCAGCCAGGTTGGCACAATAAACTAACTACCTCCTCCGCTAAAGACTTGAGGGAACGTTTCAACATATTCCTAGAACACGTTGGGTGTGAGCTCCCTCCTCACGGGGCGTTTGCCTCTCAGGGACAACTTCTGCATCCTCTCTGGCTCCTCGGGTCAGTGGAATAGCTGGGTTCCCCTCTCTGCGTTGTCGTCTGTAAAATCGTTTCCATGCAGAAAGGCAGGACCAGCAGAGGACTCACCACCTCTCCTCCTTTCAGAAATCACTCTCCTTTCTTACCTGTTACCCCGAAAGTAAGACAGCCCCCGAAAATAAGACCTATTTACAGTTTTGCCTCTCGCTGAAATATATGGCATCCCCCCAAAAATAAGACCTCCCCAAAAATAAGCCCCCACAAGCTACCGTAACTCTGGACCGTCGCTGTGGGCACTGCTCCACAGTTCACTGTTAGCCGTAGCGCAGCCGGAGCAGACAGGAAGTGCGAGGTCTCTTTTAATAAAACAATACACAATAAATGTGTACCGTATTCTTCTTCATGGAAAAATAAGGCATCCCCTGAAAATAAGACCTAGCGCATCTTTGGGAGCAGAAATTAATATAAGACACTGTCTTATTTTGGGAGAAACAGGGTAGATCATACTTGTTTCACGTATTATCCCAGTCCTGGACCATATATTCCTTTCCCGTTACTTCACTGTGGTTGGAAGCAGCATCTTTTCCAACACCATTTTTCTACTTAACCAGATGCCAGGATAATTTCTCTGTTGTTAAATATTAACAGCTAACACACACACACACATATACATTTAAAAGAATGAAGGAGGGAGAGCGGGGGAGGGAGGGAAACATGAGGAGCTGATATCAAGGGCTCAAGTAGAAAGTAAATGCTTTGAAAATGATGATGGTACAAAATAATTATAAATTATCAAGGGTTCATGAGGGAGGGGAGAGCGGGGGAAGGAGGGGGAAAAATGAGAAGCTGATGTCAATGGTTTAAGTGGAGAGCAAATGTTTTGAGAATGATGAGGGCAACGAATGTACAAATGTGCTTTACACAATTGCTGTATGTATGGATTGTTATGAGTTGTATGAGCCCCCAATGAAAGTATTTAGTAAAAACAACAATAAAAAATATAAAACAGGTATATTAATAAAACACGATGTCTAATGGCTGCACACGATTCCAGCTGACATGTGGGAAATTATTCGGATGAAATGGGCCTCCAAGTATACGAGGAAACAAGCTATCCCAGAGGAGCTCACATTCATAATGAAAAAGTTGCAAACACGCAGTTTATTAACTCTATGTCAAAAAACTCAGAGAGAGAGCCAGGCGAAAGGTATGGGCTACGTTAACACACTTGGGATTGGGTGAAAACCAAGGTCAAACTCTGGGCCATCAATTCAAGCCTGACTCTTAGCAACACAATAGGACAGAGTAGGACTCCTTCAGTCTCCCATGGAGTGGCCAGTGGTTTTGAACTGCTGACCTTATGGTAACCCACAGCGCCGCCAGGATCAGGTGCAAACGGGGAGAAAAGACCGCCGGCCTGCGGGGTGCAGTACCCACATGTCCCAGCTCTCTTCAGCAGCTGCAGACGTCCTCAACCGCAGCACGGCTGCAGGGCCAGAGCTGAGGCAGAGGCCCGAGGCCCGTGGGCAGCAGCAGTGCCCTGAGCCAAAGACGGCTTGTTCTCCCTGAACACCTGCTCTCAGGCAGAGGCTTGCTAACCATCCTGCTGAAGAGCGATGGGCTTTATTTGTGGACTTGGAGCAGAGAACATAGGGAGTTAAAATCAGTTGTCATCAATGAGAGCTAAGTGATTTAACTTACTGTAGTTGGGGGGGGGGGGAGCGAGACCCCCTTACAAAACTCAGTGAGCCTCATGTACTTTAATGAATGCAGTTTCTATGGAGTTTTTATAATTTACCGTATATACTCGAGTATAAGCCGACCCGAATATCAGCCAAGGCACCTAATTTTACCACAAAAGCTGCATTAAACCAAGCAGGCTGCAATTACAGTTTGTGGAAGTACTGTCATTTTCCTGCTGAGAGAAACAGCCATGTTGGCCGGCTCTGGTTTTCCCTCTTCGGGTGAGATCATGACGGATTAGCACGTATAACTAAAAAAAAATAACCTTTTTCACGAAGATGGCGCCGAAGGCGAAGAAGGACGCTCCTGCCCCTCCCCAAACGGAAGCCAAAGCAAAGGCTGTAAAAGCCAAGAAGGCCGTGCTGAAAGGCGTCCACAGCCACACAAAAAAGAAGATCCCCACGTCACCCACCTTCCGACGGCCCAGGACCCTGAGACTGAGAAGGCAGCCCAAACACCCCGGGAAGAGCGCCCCCCGGAGAAACAAGCTGGACCACTGTGCCATCATCACGTTCCCCTGGACCACAGAGTCTGCCCCGAAGAAGATCGAAGAGAACAACACACCTGTGTTCACTGTGGATGTCAAAGCCCACAAACACCAGATCAAGCAGGCTGTGAAGAAGCTCTATGACATTGACGTAGCCAAGGTCAACACCCTGATCGGGCCTGACGGTGAGAAGAAGGCCTATGTTCGACTGGCTCCTGACTTTGACGCTTTAGATGTTGCCAACAAAACCGGAATCCTCTAAACTGAGCCCAGCTGGCTAATGCTAAATATAAACTTTTTCAATATTAAAAAAAAATAGAAAGAAAACTGCATGAGACATGTGCTGAAAAACTCAGCTTGTACACGAGTATGTCGGTCCTTAAAGACCAACAGGTTGGATTCATGTGGCATCTCCGTGACTCTTCTCTTAGTTACCTGACCACACGTGATTGAAAACTGGGCCCCGCTCTCTAGTTAGACATCCCCGAGACGGGCCTGAGACTCAAGGACCCTTACTGCTCTGTTTGTGCTCACGGTCAATAGTTGTTATCCACGGTTACCTTGAACCTGAGCTCACGTCAAACATCCCCAAAGTGTATACGGTGAACCCTCGTTTATCGCGGTTAATCGGTTCTAGACCCTACCGCGATAAATGAAATTCCGCGAAGTAGGATTCCTTATTTGTAAATCAAATATTTTCGTAGTTAGAGCATAGAGGACATGAAAAAACACCCTTTAGTCACCATTACACTCGTATTACCCAATTTATTAAACGAAAAAGGGAAAATACAGTAAAACATTTTGGACGTTACAATGATCATTTATTATTTATTATATTATGAAGTTCAACGGATGGAGCGATCGGAAGACTCATTCAAGTCGAAATGGCGTGCAACCTCCACAATTTTCTTGCCATCTTTGATCATATCCAAAAGTTTTACCTTTTCCTGGATGGTGAGCATCTTCCTCTGGCGCTTATTTTTATTGTCAGAAGGCTTAGAAGAAGCAGCTCGTTTAGGAGCCATCATAGGGCTTAGATAAAATTTCTTAAAAATCGCAAACAATTACAGTACGCTGTACAAAAGCAAAAATGCATCTGATATGTAGCTCCGATACGTAGGGATGCAGACAGAAGCGTGTACAGTATGAGCAATCAGTGGCAGTCATGACAGAGCATGCGCTGTTACGCAAAAACCGCGATAGAGTGAAGCCGCGGAAGTCGAAGCGCGAAGTGGCGAGGGTTCACTGTATTCTAAAGCCAGAGGTATACCTTTCTCTATGGGTTCTGACTTCCAGCAGGACACCCCAGGGCAGCCTGTAAGCTCTCGATCTCCTCGCTGGGTGCACCTTCGAGATCTTCTGCCAACTCGGAGTGCAGGACACGGCTGTGCTGCTCCAGGGTCGACAGCTGCGTGTCAGGAGACATCGTGAACGGCGGGATGAAGGCATCCTGACGGTGGACATGGTTAGGGTCTCCTGAAGGGAGTGCAAAGAGTAGTGCACTCAGCGGCCGACCAGCTGGTGGGAGGGTCACGCTCACCCGGAGGGACTTGGCAGAAGGCCCGGTGATGGACTTCCCGAGACGGAGCCCCTGAAGACCATCCAGAGCCCAGTTCTGCTCGGACACACGTGGGAGCCGGAGCCCATATGACAGTGACGGTGACTGGGAGCCAGTGTTTCTTGTAAGTTTAGTTCTTCCTGTGGCTCACGCACATTGGGTATAGGGCGAATCTCTCGTAAGCATTGCCTGGTGGATATTACGCATTCTGGTGGTTGGATCCGTCCCTTCCCACGTCCATGGTTCACACACGTAGGCTCAACTAGTTGCTGCTCAGTGCCGGGAAGCCAGTTCCAGTTCACGGCGACCCCACGTACCACAGAGGATCTTTGAACCTGGTGTCTCGTTCTTCACAAAGTTGCCTTCTCGAGCCACCTGCAGAAAGATTCACGTCAGCTCATTCTCCTCCTGTTTCCTTCCATCCATAGGAGTGACTCCGGGTGCCAGAACGAGTTTCAAGTCCTGGGCTCAAAGGCTCTTCTGACACCCACTCGGGCCTTTTCTCTCGTTGCTGTCTTGGGAGTGACGCTTTGCTGAGGGGCAGTTGGTAAACTGAGGAAGGGTGTGCCTGAGGGGATATCCTCCCACCATCTTTATTTCATCTGTATGCTGAGCAAGTCCTTCAGGCAGCTGGCTTAGATCAGCAGTTCTCAACCTGTGGGTCGCACCTCCTTTGGGGGTCCAACAACCCTTTCACAGGGGTCGCCCGATCCTAACAGTAGCAAACCGACAGTGATGAAGTAGCAACGAAAATGATTTTCTGGTTGAGGGTCACCACCACACGAGGAACCGTATGAAAGGGTCGCGGCAGCAGGAAGGTTGCGAACCCCTGGCTTAGATGAAGAGGAGGCATCGAGGTTGGAGGACCACTCGTTAACCACTTGCAATTCGCCGAGGACCCACCTTTGCCTGTTGAAAGCAAAGCGGACTTGAAGCCTTTACTGACGGGAATAAAAACCGGAAGCCACCAGGATGATTCCACGGCTACCTAAAGACAATAAAAGCTCTCACGCTGGGATTCGTAGCATCATGGCACGTGGAGAAGAGCTGGACGTCATCAAGGACTACCTGTTCCTTGGACCCACAATCACCCCCCCTACCCCCCCAAGAAGCGGTCAGGACTGAAAACAGCCTGTGGCAGTGGGACAATCTGCCGAGAGACCTGCAGCCCACACAGTCCTAGCTTCCCGCCTCCCCACCTTTGTGCATCTTGCAAATGTGCCTTTGGAGACATTTTCAAAATAAGACTTCGGCTCCCTTCCTTTTCCATATTCCCAAATCCCATTGGATTTTAAACGTCACATCTTTATTGAAGTATAATTTACATATCATGAATTAATCCTTTTGAAGTGTGCAAGTCGGGGGTTTTCAGGGGATTCCCAAAGTGGTGAAATTTTCAGCACAATCGGTTTTAAAACATTTTCATCATTCCCCAAAGACATCTTTCTTTATTTTTTTAAGGTAAACAAGCGGCCATCTAGCTCAGAAGCAACAAAGCCCACATGGAAGAAGCACACCAGCCTGTGCGATCACGAGGGGTCGAGGGGTCGAAGGGATCAGGTATAAGGCATCATCAGAACAAAAAATCTTACCATAGGGAATGAGGGGGTAGAGTGTAGGGTGGAGACGCAAGGCCCATGAGTAGGCCACTGGAGATCCCCTTGCAGAGGGGTCTTGGGGAGGAGAGGAGCCAGTCAGGGTGCAATGTAGCAACGATGAAAAATACAACTTTCCTCTAGTTCCTAAATGCTTCCCCCACCCCCCACTATCATGATCCCAATTCTACCTTACAAATCCGGATAGATCAGAGGATGTACACTGGTACAGATAGGAACTGGAAACACAGGGAATCCAGGACAGATGATCCCTTCAGGATCAGTGGTGAGAGTGGCAATACTAGGAGGGTAGAGGGAGGGTGTGTTGGAAAGGGGGGACCGATTACAAGGATCTACATGTGACCTCCTCTCTGGGGGAGGGACAACAGAAAAGTGGGTGAAGGGAGACGTCGGACAGGGAAAGATATGACAAGAAATAATTTATAAATTATCAAGGGTTCATGAGGGAGTGGGGAGCGGGGAGGGAGGGGCAAAAATAAGGAGCTGATGCCAGGGGCTTAAGTGGAGAGCAAATGTTTTGAGAATGATGAGGGCAACAAATGTACAAATGTGCTCGACACAATGGATGTATATATGGATTGTGATGAGCTGTATGAGCCCCTAATAAAACAATTTTTAAAAAAGAGAAATCTTTTTTTTTTTAATCATCTTATTGGGGACTCATACAACTCTTATCACAATTCATGCATACATCCATTGTGTCGAGCACATTTGTACATTTGTTGCCCTCATCATTCTCAAAACATTTGCTTTGTACTTGAGCCCTTGGTATCAGCTCCTCATTTTCCCCTGCCTCCCTGACCCCTCCCCAAAGAAATCGTAGCCCATTGGCAGCCTCTCTTTTCCTCTCAGCTACTCCAGCCCTCCCACCCACTGTCCTGGGGTCCATTTTGATTCATAGCGACCCTATAGCTCAGAGCGGAATTGTTTCCTGGGGTTCAGTACATGGTCTTTCAAGACTGGTTTCTTTCTCTCAACATAATTGTACTGGACAGAACACTGGTCCCCACCGCAGAACCTGTGGCTAGGTTGCTTTACGTGGTCCAAGGGGCTTTGCCTATGTGATCCAGTGCAATGTATTAAGTTGGGAAGATTATCCTGGTTTATCTGGGCGGCTCTTGATCACAGGGATCTTCATTGAGAGAGAGCAAGAGTTAGAGCGAGCAGACAGGATGGTGGAGCAGCGATCCAAGTGATGTGCTTTGAAGATGGGAGAAACGACACAGCAAAGGAAGAGTGATGGTCTCTAGAAAGAGGCAAAGAATCCCTTTCCACTGTTGGAAGAAGTGAATGATGACTTAAATAAATGCAGAGGTGCTCCACGCTTATGGATTGGAAGGCTCAATATTGGTAAAATGTCAACACTAGCTAACATGATCTGTAGATTCAACACAATCCTGACCAAAATTCCAATCGCCTCCTTCGGCATCTTCAACTTTATAAGGAATGACATAAGGCTGAGTAGCTAGAGTGGAGAGAACAAAGCAGGACTCAGATTTCCTGATTTTAAAACACACTGTCTTCCTACAGGAGTCAAAACAGCCTGGTACTGGTCTAACAATGGACACAGAGACAATGGAATCGAATGAAGAGTCTAGAATAAAGACACCCATCTGTGGTCAACTGATTTACTGACAAGGGTGCTGATTCTATTCTGTAAGGAAAGAGAAGTCTCCTCAATAAATGGTTTGGGGTGGGCTGGAAAGAGGGAACCGATTACAAGGAACTATATGTGACCTCCTCCCTGGGGGACAGACAACAGAAAAGTTGGTGAGCGGAGACATCGGACAGGCCAAGATATGACAAAATAATAATTTATAAATTATCAAGGGCTCATGAGGGAGGGGGCAGCGGGGAGGGAGGGGAAAAATGAGGACCTAATGCCGGGGGCTTAAGTGGAGAGGAAATGTTTTGAAAATGATGAGGGCAATGAATGTACAAATGTGCTTTATACCATTGATGTATGGATGGATTGTGATGAGTCATATGAGCCCCTAATAAAATGATTAGAAAAAAAAATGGTTTGGGGAAATTGGATTTCTACAGGCAGAAAAGTAAAATAGGATCCACAACAGCAAATTCAAAATGGAATAAGGAACTAAATGTGAAAACTAACAGCATAA